TTTTATATTCCTTTTATATACATACATATATATAATACAATGTTATAAGAAAATATGACTTTGATAGTTAAGGGGCTTAAGAGTCATACAGGTCAAGGTCACATAACTAGTAAATGATGGTGTCAAGACTTGAATCCAGGGCCAGGGATATAGCTCAGCAGCGTAAGTGCTTGCCTGGCAAGCCTGAGTTCATGAGTTTGATTCTTGGTACCAAAAAAACCCAAAAAACAAAAAATACATTTGAATCGAGGTGTTTGCTCTAGTAGTCTCTATCCATTTTTTCCCACTGCCCTCTCGGTGGCTTCTATGGTTATTTCTTTTTCTGGTGAAAGACTTAGTAAGCTTCCCTTATGACTATTCTGTGGTCTCATCCTTATTGGCAGCCTGGCCTCTAGGGCAGACCATAGTGTTGCCCTGGTTGGAAGCGGGCTTTCCCCAAATGGGTCAGACTTTGGATGTCAGTTCACGCTGAGGAGAAAGTAATGAATACAAGTTTCCTGACAGGACGTAGCCTGTTATTTAGCTGTTCTTTTCTGCTGGGAATTCAGGCCAGCATATTTGAGACAGCAATTTTTCAGGCCCAGGGCACAGGCTTTTGGTCACTTTTTAAGAAATGGACAAGACTACTGAACTGTCTGTGAGGATACGTCCTGTGTGCGCTGGGGAAAGATGTGTGCATGTGTGAGCCCGCCCCGGCAGCTCCCAGTGACCTCGGGCACTGGGGTGTTCCCCACCGCACCTCTGTCTGCCCAGCTGTAACCAGCAGCTTCCTGATCTCTCTCACAAAAGCCAGGCCTTTACGGGCTTCTTTGCTGCCAGGGATTGAATCCAGAGCCCTCACACTGGGCTCCATTCCTTACAGCCCCCCGTGCCCCCATCTTTAAATTGTGAATATTGGGACAGAGTCTCACTGAGTTGCCCAGGCTGGGCTTGAACTTGGGATCCACCTGCCTTAGCCTGCCAAAGTGCTGGGAGTCTGTACCACCATAGTTGTTGAGGTTGGCGGTGGGCAGTAGACCATCTCTGACTTCGGGCTGCTGCACTGCCAGTTACACTCAGAGCCACGTGGACTCTGAGGTTGAAGCCCAGCCTGACAACTCAGTGAGACCCTATCTCAAAATAAAAAATAAAGAGGCCTGGGAATGTAGCTCAGGGCGAAGGCCCTGAGTTCAGTCCCCAGTGTAGTCCGGGAGGTGACAAAAAGAACCTTGTAAATTTACATAGCTAGCCAGTGGTCAATCTGGGACTGCAGTCCAGGCTGTGACCTCACAGCCTATGTTCTTACTAACTTTACTGTCTTCTCAGGCCCTTTCCCTCCAGAAGCCCCAGGAGCAGGTGCCCAGCCTCTGCCTCGTTTACTTTTTCCTAATTTGTGTCGAGGTAAAGTGTTTCAAGGCAAAGAAGGTACGGGTCTTTGAAGCTGAGGCCACTTGTCTGTGCTCGGTCTTTTACTTGAATTCACAGGTGTCCCTTTGTGCCGGAGATCATGTATGGCTTGCTCATGAGACCTTTGGGTCAATTTGAAATAGGTACTTCCTGGGTTGTGGAGCTGATGAGTTTTGAGTCCCAGCAGGTATAATGTAGCCCTTGGGATGATGGTGTTTCTGTCAATTGTATGTTATGTTCAGGAATTCAAAGCTTGAATTTGGGGCTGGGGATTTAGCTCAGTGGCACAGTGCCTGCCTGGCAAGCGTGAGGTTGTGAGTTCAATTCCCAGTACCGGAAACAAAACAAAACAAAACAATAAAAGCTTGAATTTATGGAAGGTAAGTTCAAGATCATTTCATAGGGGGAAGGGCTGCAGCTCAAAGGAGTTAGGTGAGTTATCTAAATCTTGTAGTGAGAGTAGAGCTCCCAGCTCAGTTTTTCCCCCTTCCTTCTTTCCTTCCTTCCTTCCTTCCTTCCTTCCTTTCTTTCTTTCTTTCAGTTGGTTTTTTGAGACAGGGTGTTGCCATGCAGCTCAGGTTGCCCTTAAGCTCACTATGTAGCCCAGGCTAGCCTTCACCTCCTTGTGGTCCTCCTCCCTCACCTTCCCAGGTGCTGGGATCACAGATGTGCGCCATCACACCAGGCTTTCAGTTATCTTGCTGTCAGCCCCTCCCCAGGATTCAGGTTCCTGTCCACTGAGGGTCGTAGGTAGGGGGTGTGCAAATTCCTTGTAGGTGATGTCCTGACTTTGAAGCTACCTTGAGCTGAGGTGGTGAGCGTGGCTCTAGGGAGCCCAGCAACTGATCAAAGTGTTCTTGTTCTTGGGGGATATAGACTGTTCGCTGATAGACTAGGACACAATCTCAACCTGGCAGGGGCCACTGGAGTTGCTAGGAAGCTGGGTACTGATACTACAGTGGTAAAGCCTAGGGGCAGGGGCTCTGGGAGATTGCCTTGGGCTAAGCTGCCGCCCTTTCTGCCTCTCAGGCCAATACTGAGGCTCAGATGGGACAGGCTCCTAGTGTTAAACTAGAGAAAGTGAAGTATCAGACTAAGCAGGTGTGCTGAATGGGCTACAGCCCAGACCTGCACTTAGAGTGTTTCTGGGGAGTAAAAGAGAAGTAAGGAGGGCGCAAGACAGCAGAGGCGAGATGAACTGACAGCAGTGTTCCCATGCGTGAAAGAGGAGGAAAGGGAGGAAACACACAGGAAGGGGCCAGAGACAGAAGAGGTGGCAGGAGGCAGTGTCCAGACAAGAGGAGAGCGGAACCAGGTGTGGTGGCACACACTTGTAATCCCAGCACTCAGGAGGCTGAGGCAGGAGGATCATTGTGAATTTGAGACCATCCTGGGCTATAAGGTGAGCTCAAGGCCAGCCTGAACTGCACAGCAAGATCCTGTCTCAAAAAGATAAGACCCCCTGCAACAAAAAGCTGTTCTTTTAACAAAAATAAAGTAAAATTTAAAAAGGGCCAGGGGTAGAGCTCAGCGGCACGAGTACCTGCCTGGCAAGTGCAACGTCCTGAGTTCGATTGCTGGTACCAAAAAACAAAAAACAAAAATAAAATAAAAAACAATAGTAACGATGATGATGATAATAATGAGAGCTGAGATCGTACACGGAGTTTGTGATCCACCGAAGCTACTCATTTCTGTCCAAGGAACCGGTGGCTCAGGAGCCTTTTCTGCTTTCACTTTCCTGTAACAAACCAACCAGGCTGTACTGGCAAAAGTCATCTTTACTTGGAAAGGAAAAGCAGCTGCTCTCAGCAAGACCTTCCACCTTCCATTCTGCCCTCGCCAGAAGAGAACGCCAGGAGGTCAAGGGGCCCAGCCAGATGCCCGAGCTGCCAGACGTGGGTTGCAGAGCTTTCTCTGCCTTACCTGCCACTCCTCAGGGAGGGCCCTGCACTTTGCGGGGTCCTGGGCATTGCCGAGGCTAATTACAGTTTGAGAAAGTGCGCCTTACTTTACCTTGCCTGGACCCTGAGGCTTGTTCTGTCTCGGAGGAACTGTGCCTTTTCTGGCCTTGAGCCACTCACTTCTGAGCAGCGACCTGGGCTGTGGCTGTCCCAGCCACAGGTGCAGCCCCGCGTGCGCCAGAGGCCTGGGTAGCTGTGTGGCTGCTGCTGCTGGGCGCTGGCCCTCCTGCTGCAGAGCTGATGAACAGGGTTAGAGGCCGGGATCGGCCTGCGCTGGTGTCGAGCAGCCCTCGCGAGTGGGGCTGGGCATCCAGGAGGGAGAACGCGGGGCAGGCCCGGTCCTTCCTGTCCCTTTCCTCCAGACCAAGCTCAGAGCCTCTCCCACGGAGCACAAGCTTCCCGTGCTCTCCAGCCCTTCAGTCTCTTCAGGAATTCTTGGCAGGCGGAAGTGGTTGCCACCAAGGCAGGTCTGCCCCGGCACACATTTGGACTGGCGAGGGCGAACAGCCCAGAGGCACCTTTTGCTCCTCAGGCGCCTGTCCTCTAACTCCAGCGTATTCCCTCCACTCCCTGCCTTCTGTGAGAGCTGCGGTCCTCATCACCCATCGCACCACTCGCTGCCAAGCTCCCTGTTGAGCAGAGGTCTCCCTGCAAGTCAGTCCCTGTACTCGATTTACTCCCTGCCCCGGGCTGCTGCTCTCTGCCCAGCTCCTCTCTGCTCCCGTGGCGGAGCGCTGCTCCTCAGCACTCCTTGCCTTTGCCTCACCGGGTCATCTGAGCGAAGTCACCTCCGAGCTGCAGTGATGGCTGCTTCCTCCTTCCTCCTCCTTCCCCACCCTCGCCTTTCTTCTTTTTATTACTGGGGGATATTGTGGGATTGAATCCGGGGCCTTCACACAGAGCTACATCGCTGGGTCTTTTAAATTTTTTGTTTTGTTTTGGGACTAAGTTGCCCAGGCTGGGCTCAAGCTTATGATCCTTCTGCCTCAACTTTCCCAGAATGCTGGGATTACAGGAGTGTGCCACTGCACCCAGCGAGTCCCTTCCTTCTGAACCACAGATTCAGAGTTCCCAGAGTCAGTGCCGTTTTGACCCTTCTCCACACCAAGCCAGACAAGCCTTGCTGAGGACAGAGCTCTCAGCAGAGCGAAAGCTCTAGCTTAGTTTGGAAGTGTCTCTGTGCCCAGAAGCTTGATCCAGGCAATGGATTGGGAGGGCTGAGTTGGCATTGAGAGAAAACAAGTGGCAGATGGTGCTAAGGAACACCCCAGGCCTGGAAACCCAGTTCCCAGAAAGGGAGGCGCGAGGGAACGCTGGCAGTCTTGCTCAGCAGCTGTGACAGACCGGCCAAAGAGCGCTTCAGGAGAGGGCTGAGAGCATCTTGATGGCACTAGAGATGCAAGCGACCCCAGACACTTGCTGTGCTGTCACCTTCCACACCCAGAGTGAGCAAGCTGGGTGGCCGCTGAGCTGGAAAGGAAAAGCAGGGGGTGAGAGAGTAGGAAGTGGCCCAGAAACTGGAGGAAATGCTCCCTGTGGCAGTGCTCTTTTCTGGTGATAAGTAGTGGGCGCCAGTAAGGCAGCATCCTGGTGCTCAGTGACCTGCGATTCGCGTGGCCCCAGCCCCACCTGGCCTTTGACCTCCCCCAGGTGCTAGAGGTGGTACGAGCCAACTATGACACACTCACGCTGAAGCTGCAGGACGGCCTGGACCAGTATGAGCGCTACTCAGAGCAGCACAAGGAGGCTGCCTTCTTCAAGGAGCTGGTGAGTGCCCGCCTCTGCCTTGGCTGTGGGTTCTGTTGTGCAGCAGGCCTAGAGGGCTCTCCTGGAGTCCAGCTTGCAGCTTCTCTACCAAGCCAGTCAGGGCAAGGCAGGGAGGAAAGGATACTCCCGAAGCACTGCTAGCCTTTCTTGCAGGGATCGAGATCGCTCTGCGTAGCCCCAGCCAGGCCTGGGTTGGTCTTCTGTGCCCAGGGGCAGCACTGGCTCACTGTTCCTTACCCTGTCCTCCTGCGTAACCACTTCCTGAGCTGCTAACTGGCCCGCTAACACGGTTACCGAGTCTCCACCCCTACGCCCATTCCCACTTCCCGGCCGCTCAGCTTGCAGCAGCCTCCACCTTGGACCCCAGGAGCCAGTGAGCATTTGCTCTGCCTCCTACCGCACCTCCTGCCAGCATCCCTGGAAAACAGCTTCTCCTACCCACTGTGCCTTTCCTGCCCTGTGCCCAGAGCTGTTCTCCGGAACAGTGGCGCCTTCCTGTAGTTCTGCCGCCCACCTGCTGGGTGTACACAGGCCTCCTGGCTGGAGCGGACCCCAGCAGACACAGGGGCTCTACCTGCTTCTCATGTTCTCAGCCTCCCTCTGCTGGGGTGTAACCTCCATCAGCCAACCTTCTTCTTCCCCGTGCCAACTCTGTGGTAATGATGCTGGGTTTTGGGTCATCCATCTTGTGTTAAACCAGCCCCAACTTTGACCCTGACATGATGTTCCTCAGGACTTCTCTGGGGTGAGTTAGGTAGGAACAGGGTAGCTGTCTTAGCTTCTGTTCTTGCTGCTGAGACAGAATATCCAACACCCTAAGTTAAAGGGGAAAGGCTTATTTAGCTCACAGTGTGTGGAGGTTTCAGCCCATAATCAGCTGGCTGCAAGGCAGGGCGGCACATGGCAGAGAGGCATCACCAAGGAGAAACAGTTCATGGCAGGCAGGAGGTAGGTAGCAAAACAAGCGAGAGAGGAACACCGCTCTTTCTACCCCTTGTATCTCATCCAGGCTGCTTAGGGCGGGCAGCACTCACGCCCTCAATCCTAGTGCCCTCGATCCTAGCATCGCACCATGAATCAGTCCCAGCGCCACACACCCTAGATCCAGCCACCTCTAAAGAAGCCCCATCTGTGACCACAGGTGTCCCCCCTCCTTGGGGGGACATCTAGACACAGCCATAATGGTAGCCATCTTTATGGAGCGGCTGGTGAGCCTTCACGTTGGTGTAGGGTAATTACTGGGAGCCAGCAATAAACAAAGAGAATTAGTTATTGGGAGATGAAGAGGGTTGTGAAAGAGAATCTGAGGACCTGGGTCATGAGGCTCTTAGCATTGGCTTCTGCCCTCCTCACTTCTCTTGTCTGCACCCTGGCACAGGGGAACAGAGCAGATGTAGTTCAGGTGGAAGCTGCTGAGTTGCCTGTCACTTGGCATGCTGCCCTTTCCTTTGCTTCTGGCCTGACCACTTAATCCCTCCACCTCCCCCAGGTTCGATCCATTAGCACCAACGTCCGGAGGAACCTGGCCTTCCACACACTCAGCCAGGAGGTCCTGCTGAAGGAATTCTCCACTATCTCCTGAGTCTACCTGCTCTCAACAGCCACGGACTGCCCTTGTTCATGAGGCTCCTGGGCTAGACGGGGAGAAGGGGCTGCCTCTGAGGTCGGAGAGAAACACAGACACCGAGGTCTCTTGATGAAGGCGGTACTTCAGTGGAGCTTGGACAGCAGCAGCAAGCCAGGGGATCTTACTTGGGGAGGAATGGGTGGGCAAAGGGAGACACATCTAAGAATGTGGGGGCTTCCAGGATACCCTTTCACACTTCCAATTGAGACTGCAAGTTGTAGCTTCTGACTCACTTTCAGGAGTTGGTGGGCTAAGCTCTCGGTGACACCAACATCCTGAAGTCCCGGGGTTCCTGAAAACAAGTCAACTTTCAGATATACCTGGAACTCCCTCCTGCTTGATTTGGGCCTGGAGCTGAGTTGGGTTTGAAATATGTGTCCCCTGCCCCTACCGGCAGTCTGTCACAAGACCCTTAGCTCAGGCTCAGGGTAGGTATTACACGTTTTCTAAATTCAGAGTTGACTTCTCTGAAAAACTGAAGACCGCAGTCTCCCCAAAGCTTTACTGTCCACCACCACTTCGTAGGTCTTAGTTTCGGCATCAGGAGTACCTGTCTGCTTTCTCCTGCCTTCCAAACCACTGAGTCATCAGCACAGTAGGCTCACAGTCTTAGCTTTTTATTTTTAGTCTGGTTTAAACTGTCTACAGGTGTGTGTGAAATAAACACTTGACAGGTTTTCTGGACCCCTCAAGGTGCCTACTTTGCTAGTTCCCTTTCCAGCAGCTCCCCCACCCCAGCCACCCCTCCACAGGGAGCCTCTCCTGCCTCTGCTGAGCTCCCCTCCAAGAGTTCCACCCCCTCACCCTGCTGTTGTTTACATCCAGCCTGCCTGAGAATTTCCTCTAGGGAGGAATCTGTTCCTGCTGGGGGCAGGGTGCCCTCCGTCTACAAGAGGCGGCCCAGCATTGTCTGCCCGACTCCAGGTGGGCCACAGGCAGATCTCCTGGCCCTCAGAAAACGGGCCTGCGCGCCTCCTCCAAGTAGCCTCTGTGGGACCTCTGTAGGCTTCCTGTGCTGCCCCGCAGCTGCCTGCCAGATAGCTGCTGTTCGGAGACCATCCCTTTTAAAGTACTTTGAAAGCCCTCAGGAAGGTAGGCAGGAAGCAGCGAAGGAAGAATGAGAGCATGCAGGACTCCCGCTGTGAAAACAGGTGTGCGACCTTCCGGGCGCTACCAGGTAGACTCCAGTCACTTTGGAGCAGTTGCCCTCCCTGGGAACCCTGGTTCCCGCTTCAGTGTTGAGATGTGTCCTACTTCCAGGGTGTCTACCAACAGATGCCACACAGATGTGGGGTTCTTAAGAGGTCGTGGGCTAGTTTACCTCTGGTCACTGGTCACTAGTGGCTGGGTCAGCCTGGGGCAGGTAGGGTCTTCCTGGTGATAAACTCAACAGCAGCTAGACCTGGAACTGCTGACAGGCTGAAGTTATTAAAAGTTTATTTGTGGGACAGTCATCCTAGTGTCTTCTTTCCCACCTTAATCTCCTCTGCCCAGATTCACTTCTCAAAGACAGACTGAAGGTGACCTCCTGGGTGCTGGCCCCGGCTAGGGGACGCCTGCTGGTCCTCACAGGCTCCTCGGAGCCTCTGGCCCTAGCAAAGCCTGTTGAGTTCAGAGTTGTAGCCTCCCTTGCCCAAACTTTTCGGCACCAGGGGCCGATTTCATGGAAGACTTTCCCACAGATCTGCAGCTGCGGGAAGGCGGAGGGCGTGCATGCCGAAGTCCTGCCCTGCGCCTGCACAGCTCACAGTGAGGTCCCCTCCTGTGAGGATCTGCTGGGGCGGCGGCTCTGTCTGGCAGCGTAGTAAAAATGGAGCGTGGCTGTAAATACAGATTAAGCTTCCTGGTCTGTGGCCCACGTTGGGACCCCTGCTCTAAGGAGAAGTTCCCTTGTCTCCAGACAGTGGTGGTGAGGCCAGCAGTCATCCCTTGGGCACCTTCAGGGTTCCTGCCAGTCCTCCTAAGAAGTGAGCAAGGGCAAGATGGACATGGACACTCGGCAGAGGACTTCCTGCCCTCCTTGCAAAGGCTGATCTCCAGGCTGGCCTTGAACTAAGGGCACTTGGAATCCTCAGCCCTCTGGAGTGCAGGTGCAAGCCGCTGTGCCCAGCCTGCCAGCCTGTTCACACCTGCTCCAGGAATAAGCTTCAAAAGCAGCTGACCATGCTGTGTCCACAGGCAGCCTCTGTGCAGGGTCTGTGCGCTCCTGCAGAGCAGAGCGGGCGCAGGCGTGCTTCCCAGTGCTTCCCGCCGCTGTCACCCCGGAACGCCGGCCCCCTCGGGCACGTGGTTGGGCGTGGAGTCAGTGAGGACAGTAAAAGTGCTAGGGTCACTTAAGCTGAAGCCTTCGGTCTGGGCAGGCTGCTTCTCCAGACCCACCGGACAACATCTGCCCGTCCTAGTGACTCGTGTGACGCGTCCTGCCCCATTCTCCAGACAGGGAGTTAAACTTAGGGACAGTGGCTTCATCAAAGGGTTGTTTGTTTCTCACCGGTTATCACCTGACCCCCAAATGCCTCAGTGAACCCCAGATCTGCTGAAAACGAGGCATATCGGCCGGGGCAGGTAACAAGAGAAGGGCAGAAAAGTTGAAAGGCGGAGGGACAGGCGGTCTTGAGAAACTGACCTGGTTCCAGCCTCCTCCTCTTTCTGTTGGCCTGTTGGCCAGCGGGGACGCCGGGTCCGGGAATAAGGTTCGTAGGGGTGTGTGAGGCCCCTCGAGAGGGCCGCGAGGGCAGAGTTAGGGACCCGCCGGAACCGAGAGAAGGCAGCTGTCCCCCGGCGGGCGGCGCCTAGGTCAGAGCCGGGCTTGACTTGCTCTGCGGCCCGGCCGTCGGAAGCGGGCCGAGGCGGTGAGGGTGGGAACGAGCGGGAGCCGGGGCAGCAGGGGCAGCCCGACGGAGCAGCCCGGGGCTTGGCTCCGCGCGAGGCGCTGGCTGTGGAGGAAGGGGCCGGGCTGGGGCGGGGTTTCCTCCCCAGGCCCCGCTGCCTGCCG